CTCCTGACCTCTCTAAGCACTGCATGCAAATGGTACACAAACTTGGAGCAAAACACCTTCATGCACATATAAAAATAAAAATTCTGGCGGGCCAACTGGGCAAGCACCACTACAGTGAGCACATATATGGTGGAGAGATGGAAGCGAAAGAGAAGAGGAATGGTTCACATGCTGTGGAGGGAGGCAGAGCTGGAGCGGAGACAGCGGTGAGGAACAGGCTGATGTGAGGGGCCTGCACTACCACCTGAGGCCATGTGGTGTCTGGGCCATGCTACCACAGAAGGCCATGTCTGCGTCCATGACCCTGCCACAGCCAGGGTCTGTGTTGATGTTCATGGCCAGTGTTGCCACCAAGAGCCATGCAGATGTCAGTGGTCTGGGCTGCCACCTAAGGCCATGTTGATGTCTGAAGACCACGCTGATCTGGGTGACCTCTGCTGCCCCCTGGGGCAGTGGTGATGTCTAGGCCCGTGCTGTGGCTGAGGGCCTGTCGGTGGCCCATGTGAACCACCAAAAGCCATGAGGATGCCTGTGGTCTAGGCTGCCACCTGAAGCCATGTTTGTACCCAAGGGCAGTGCTGAGCTGACCCCGCCCCTCACCTGCTGCCACACAGCAGCACCAGCAATGGTGTGGGCCTGGGAGAGGTGACTGTGGTGGTGCAGGAGAGCTGGCCTTGATCATGTTGACTCCGGGGGATGGCGTAACCACAGCCACAGGATCTCCATGACTCAGGGCCACAGCGGGATATCCAAGAGGAGTCTCGGTGTGGGTCCAGTACTGATGATGGATCAGATGCCAGGAGCCTTGAACCAGACCACGGACTCACTGCAATGAACATTTGCAAGTTAAGCTCTTTGCACAGAAGGGTATACTGCGTGGCACACCACAGCTCCCAGTGCCAACTAGGAGGAATGAACTTGTGATGGAGAGGAGGGAAAGACAGGGAAGTGGAGTGGTTGGAGACAGCTGTGTTAAGTCTAAAAAGGCTGCAGCTAACCGAGGAGCAGGTCGTTGCCCAGAGGGGTCCTCAAGATGTTTTTTTTGTTGTTGTTTTTGTTTTGTTCTGTTTGGGGGGTGAGGTTACAAAGGTGGAGGGCAGACATGGAAGGACTGTGAAATGAGCAGGATTGGGGTACATGATGTGAAATTCCAAAAAAAATCAATTAAAAAAATGTGTTTAAAAAAAGAACAAAATAAGCCGGGCGGTGGTGGCGCACGCCTTTAATCCCAGCACTCGGGAGGCAGAGCCAGGCTGATCTCTGTGAGTTCGAGGCCAGCCTGGGCTACGAA